GGCATGCTAAGGAGGTGGCCGGCAACCTCCACCGCTGCAGGTACTGAACGGCACCTGCTGACTGAAGGACAGCTTGTATTTCATCCTCGGCCGTCGGTATAATCCGCTGAGGACCGCGCCTACGTCCGCCTGCATTCGGTGACGATCTAGATATAAAACAGTAGGAGTTTACGATACTGCTGGTGTCAACTTATACATATCCCCTACCAACCGACGAATGCGCAGACGGGTGCCGTGAAGGTAAGCATCTGTACTTCCTCCATTTGCTCTTCATGCCTACCTACAGTCATTGTGGCCATTACCTGGTGACGATGGTAGAGGTGGCGATAGAGGTGACCCAACCAATGGCGATTGGATAAGATAACCAACGAAGGCGCAGACGGAAGACTTGAAGGTAAGACTCTGTACTTCGTCCATTTACTCTCCATGCCTACCTACATTGCCTGTGGCCGTTACCTGCTGGCGATGGGAGAACTGGCGATTGAGGAGAGCCAACCAACGGCAATTGGACAAGCTAAGCAACGAAGGCGCAGATGGAAGACGTGAAAGGAAGACTCTGTACTTCCTCCATTTACTGTCCATGCCTACCTACAGTCATTGTGGTCATTACCTGGTGACGATGGTAGAGGTGGCGATAGAGGTGACCCAACCAATGGCGATTGGATAAGATAACCAACGAAGGTGCAGACGGAAGACATGAAGTTAGGTCTCTGTGCTTCCTCCATTTACTTTCCATGCCTACCCACATTGAATGTGGCCGTTACCTGCTGGCGATGGGGATACCCGCTACCAAAAAAGGATGCTGAAGGCGATTTGAGGTAATGCAGTATACGGCAAGCATGTAAATGCAAACCTTTTTCTAGCACACCTAACTGTTGACTGCTAGTGATGTCGCAAGCCACTGCCGAGGGCAGCAGGGACGATTTTCTGTACTGCGCTGTATGTCTCGTGTGTTGTTCCCTTTTCCTATTTTTGCGTAAATGTTGCATTTTGCTATTGCATGGTTCTGGCTTGCGATACTAGTAAGCATCCGGATTAAGGGAAGGTTTGATACACAGTCAAGTAAAGTTCAACCGCAGGACTGCGTTAGCGGATGGGAACCGGTTGTGGGCTAATGGTGGAATCGAACGGACGTTGTCTGCGAACTGGACAGGTAGCTCTAACAATGGTAATGGAGCCATCAACGCACGGTGGGAGGGCGACTGATCGACTACCCGGGAGGCTGGGTAGGTGAACATGTTCACCGATGTAAAATAAGGCAATGACAGCCACTGAGCCTCGTCGGTAAACCCTTATGGGGCAGAAAGGGAGTGATTACGGAAGGCCTTTGGAGCGGGAACAGGATGGCGCGCGGAGAGGGTCTTAGGCAACTGTCAACCATGGCAGACGCTGAGGATGAATCGGGGTAGCTGGGGTCGGGTGACTTGAACCACCCGCCGTGAAGGG